ATCACCCTTAATCGTCGAGAATGGTCACGTGCTGACTAAATACCAAGACGCACCCGTATCGGAGACCTCTATGTTGCGGCGTTAGCCGTCTCTGTAGGAAGCGGGCTCTCTAGCAAAAGCTATTTTGTCTACAGAAATTAGTTACTGTGGAGCATATTGCTACCAGCCATGGCAACCACGTAAGCTCAGTTACGAACCAATTCCAGCGTGCCTTTAAGCAAGAGAGCCTATAAACGTAACATTTAGGTGAAAACGAACTTATGGGACACCCATCTCACGTGCTTTCAAGCATTTTTGGGATGTTTCGGTTGGTTTCAGGTTCAGTCCGAGCTCAGTCTGGGTTTCGGTGGTTTTGCCCGGTGTGTGCCCTCAGCTCCGTTCATCCAATTCTGGCCCAAGGCAACGCAAGAGCGCTGCCGGCATCTAGTACCTAATTAAGACATGTTTCCCATCATTTAAATGAATGCTTAGACTAGAGCAAAATGGATGCCAGAATCGTGATCAGTGGCTACGAAATCATCACAAAGGACTTTTCATGTGTCAAAGTCAGGGGCGGATCCAGAAAATCTCCAAGGGAGGGGCCATTAGAAACCAGGAGGCCCCCCACCTGTTGGAGGCCCCATCTTCCCACTTGTTGGGCCCCCCCCCCCAAAAAAAACTGCGTCTATTGAGCTTATCTAGCTGTTCAGTGGATGCGAGTGGAGGCCCTCTGTGGAGATTAAGAGGTCCTGTGTTGGCGAAGAGGATATCTGTGCAAGCTTGGAGTCCCTCTGTGCAGGATAGGAGACCTTCTGTGTGAGTTAGGAGACCCTCTGTGTTGGCTAGGAGGTCCTTTGTTCGGATGCGAGTGGAGGCCTCTGTGTAGGCTAAGAGATTTTGTGTTTGTTAGGACATCTGTGCAGGCTTGGAGGCCCTCTGTGCAGGTCCTTTGTTCGGATGCGAGTGGAGGCCTCTGTGTAGGCTAAGAGATTTTGTGTTTGTTAGGACATCTGTGCAGGCTTGGAGGCCCTCTGTGCAGGTTAGGAGGCCCTGTAAAAGTGGTCATCTCTGTGAGTATAAGAGACCTCCAAGTTATGAAAAGCTTTACCAATCTTCTAACAAAGAAGTCTTCTCAGCTAGTCTTCTAAGAAATAACTAAGTGGGTAGGTTAAAAAAACTCATCGGATTTCGGCCACTTTATTTTCAGGAGGCCCCCTTTTCAGCTTTTTAACTTTTTATTTTATTTTTGAAAAAAATCGGCCAAGGGGGGGGGGGGCCATGGCCCCCATGGCCCCCCCCCCTTGTATCCGCGCCTGGTCAAAGTCAACCAAAGGTCATTCGAGGTCACATGAGTACCATAATAATTTTGAATGGCAACATCTAGGGGCAAGTTGCTCATGGATTTTGCAGATTGGCGTATCAGACAACAGTCGGGTCACCTCAAGCTTGCCCCCACTGGCGAAAATTCGTGGCGCCGCCACTGAGTCCAAAAATAATTTGGCTGGCCCTAGCTCACTAATTTGCGCACATACGCCTAGGAATATGTTTGCTGCATCTGTTAAAGGGACTATCCCACCTTCTAAAATGTTGTTAAAACCAGTTAAATTGTGCCCGACTTTATAGATTGGATGACCAGGAACACGGTTCTGGCATTTATTTTTCATTAAACATCTTAGGCTTCCCATATTCCAAACACAAACTTTCAAATATGTGACGTCACAGCCCAAAATTACCTCCTTCCCCATGCCACATTACTGTCATAAAGCTGATTCTTTTTACTCTGTAGGCACCTCAACAAAGTTCAGACCAAGTTTTAAGCGATTTTTCAACGAACAAACCCATTTAAATCAGAATGACTAAACGAGGTGACGTCACACTAACGGTCGCTCCATGTTGAAGATAGGGCCTTCTACAAGGCCCATTTTCAAATGAAGGGAACGAATTTCTTCAACACCAAGAGGCCGCGGGGGTTGCAACCTAGATAGATAGTGGTTTCTGAACCTCGCCGCAAACTTGGCTATCTCAACTCAAACCTCATGTTAAAGGTGTGATAGTCCCTTTAAATATCATTTTAATAACTTTATTCTTCATTTTTTCTGATATATGGTAAAAAATGTGCGAATTCGCAAAATTTTCAAAATCTTTGATCGACCGGGGCCTACAAAAAAAAAATCGAAATTTGCATTTTTTATGTGCTTATCGTAATCAGCGCCCCAAAATGCACCAGATAGGGGGGTGAGACCGTGACTTTTCAAAAAGTGATGCAAACCGGACCACCCTATTGCACACATCTGGAACCCGAGGCTGCGGCTAGATATTGACCCGAGGAATCGATTGCGACCCTTATTTTGGCGATCAGACGAACCCTTGAGGCACTTTTGACGCGCCCCTTCCTTTAAGGGCCGATTAAGGGGTAAGGGGTAAGTTGCACACATCTGGAACCCGAGGCTGCGCCTAGATATTGACCCGGGGAATCGATTGCGACCCTTATTTTGGCGATCAGACGAACCCTTGAGGCACTTTTGACGCGCCCCTTCATTTAAGGGCCGATTAAGGGGTAAGGGGTAAGTTGCACACATCTGGAACCCGAGGCTGCGGCTAGATATTGACCCGAGGAATCGATTGCGACCCTTATTTTGGCGATCAGACGAACCCTTGAGGCACTTTTGACGCGCCCCTTCATTTAAGGGCCGATTAAGGGGTAAGGGGTAAGTTGCACACATCTGGAACCCGAGGCTGCGGCTAGATATTGGCCCGAGGAATCGATTGCGACCCTTATTTTGGCGATCAGACGAACCCTTGAGGCACTTTTGACGCGCCCCTTCCTTTAAGGGCCGATTAAGGGGTAAGGGGTAAGTTGCACACATCTGAAACCCGAGGCTGCGGCTAGATATTGACCCGGGGAATCGATTGCGACCCTTATTTTGGCGACCAGACGAACCCTTGAGGCACTTTTGACGCGCGCCTTCATTTAAGGGCCGATTAAGGGGTAAGGGGTAAGTTGCACACATCTGGAACCCGAGGCTGCGGCTAGATATTGACCCGAGGAATCGATTGCGACCCTTATTTTGGCGATCAGACGAACCCTTGAGGCACTTTTGACGCGCCCCTTCCTTTAAGGGCCGATTAAGGGGTAAGGGGTAAGTTGCACACATCTGGAACCCGAGGCTGCGGCTAGATATTGACCCGAGGAATCGATTGCGACCCTTATTTTGGCGATCAGACGAACCCTTGAGGCACTTTTGACGCGCCCCTTCCTTTAAGGGCCGATTAAGGGGTAAGGGGTAAGTTGCACACATCTGGAACCCGAGGCTGCGGCTAGATATTGACCCGGGGAATCGATTGCGACCCTTATTTTGGCGATCAGACGAACCCTTGAGGCACTTTTGACGCGCCCCTTCCTTTAAGGGCCGATTAAGGGGTAAGGGGTAAGTTGCACACATCTGGAACCCGAGGCTGCGGCTAGATATTGACCCGGGGAATCGATTGCGACCCTTATTTTGGCGATCAGACGAACCCTTGAGGCACTTTTGACGCGCCCCTTCCTTTAAGGGCCGATTAAGGGGTAAGGGGTAAGTTGCACACATCTGGAACCCGAAGCTGCGGCTAGATATTGACCCGAGGAATCGATTGCGACCCTTATTTTGGCGATCAGACGAACCCTTGAGGCACTTTTGACGCGCCCCTTCCTTTAAGGGCCGATTAAGGGGTAAGTTGCACACATCTGCAACCCGAGGCTGCGGCTAGATATTGACCCGAGGAATCGATTGCGACCCTTATTTTGGCGATCAGACGAACCCTTGAGGCACTTTTGACGCGCCCCTTCCTTTAAGGGCCGATTAAGGGGTAAGGGGTAAGTTGCACACATCTGGAACCCGAGGCTGCGGCTAGATATTGACCCGGGGAATCGATTGCGACCCTTATTTTGGCGATCAGACGAACCCTTGAGGCACTTTTGACGCGCCCCTTCCTTTAAGGGCCGATTAAGGGGTAAGGGGTAAGTTGCACACATCTGGAACCCGAGGCTGCGGCTAGATATTGACCCGGGGAATCGATTGCGACCCTTATTTTGGCGATCAGACGAACCCTTGAGGCACTTTTGACGCGCCCCTTCCTTTAAGGGCCGATTAAGGGGTAAGGGGTAAGTTGCACACATCTGGAACCCGAGGCTGCGGCTAGATATTGACCCGAGGAATTGATTGCGACCCTTATTTTGGCGATCAGACGAACCCTTGAGGCACTTTTGACGCGCCCCTTCCTTTAAGGGCCGATTAAGGGGTAAGGGGTAAGAGCTAGGGCCAAATAAAGGTCATATTCTTGCTCCCTGTCCCCCAATTGACCTAATATGAGTTTTTTAAGCGATTCTGAATCCGACGCTGTATTCGTTGCTGTTGCTGACGCTAACTTCACGGACATTGTTGAAAGAGGCTAAATTCACTAGCAAAGCTTGCCGCGTTTACGGCATCCCAAGACAAACGCTTGTTTATTATCATCGAAAGATAATTCACGAAGTTATGACCCTACGTACGAAGTTAGCAAAAACGTCTTTTTTTTAATGCATTTGCGAAAAATTCAATAACGATACAATGAACTAAGAAGGACCATAAGCATGTCAGGGACGTAGCCAAGGGGCCGGGGGACCACGGGGACCATTCCCCCCCCCCCCGCTGAAGTCGAAAAATAAAATGAAATTTAATGAAAAAATTAAAAATATATAAAAACTACAGCAACCCCCCCAGAATAGTGCGCCAACTCCGAGGAGTTTTCCTTTTTTGGAGGGGGTACAACACTAGGTCGCGACCTGTGGCCCCTGCCCTCCCTGAGCAAGATCCTGGCTACGTGCCTGTAGCGTGTGCAGTGAAATGGTCGTGCTAGACATGCTTCAGCCTTTGCATACCAACGCAAAATGTTGGCTCTGGAGGAAGATTTGTAGTTTTCCACGAAGTTGCCTCTCCTTACCCTATCTAATGAAAATTTACCCTATGAGGTATGCAGAGCACTTGATTCCCCGATGGATTTACCTCTAATGTGGCGTTTTTCAATATTCTTCGGAGGATAATGGTCGTCATGAAAGTTGTCGCGACCTTAGGTAGTCTCGTCCAGACAATATCGTCTACGTGCACATCGCCCATCCACTTATACCTGCAATCAGGGAACACAGCGCCAGCCAAGGAAGGTGTGACCTTTGTCGATGACGTCGATGTCCTCGGATTTCGATGTGGTGAGGTGACTCCCCATCGATATAGGCACTGTTGTACCTATGCATTACCTTGGTGACACGTGCCTGTCAAAAACTGGTAAGAGAGTGCAGTGTGCACCTATACCTTACCAAAAGTACGGCTTTAGGCCATATTCTATATATTACTCATTACTTAGAAATGTTTAGTGACTATGCGTAAGTGTACCTTTGGTCTTATTCTGAATGACACAGACTGACTGAGTACTTCCTACATGTTCGGTATTCTTAAATCTTTCCTTTTCATACCTACAAATTTAACCACGGTTAGGTTAAAACTCACCCTTCTGGCTTGAATCCATAAATTTCGCATGCTTCTTTGATTCGCTTGCTTCGATATTGCAGTCTTGCCCTTATGATGCCGTCGAGGTTATTGCAGTTTAATGTCCTGTGAAATTGAGGCCGTCGGTGAACAATGATACGTATGTGGCGAGGAACATACCTACATGTGACATTTCAATTTGCACCTTTTCAGATGCAAAGAAGATGAGAACCATATAGAAAATGGGTAGGTACTAGGTATACTGCTGATCAGCGCTTCTGCACGAATTCCGAGGAACATTGATTACGATTTACGAGCGAGCGAAGTCTTACGTAGAACCAAGGCCGTATACCTTATAAGTAGAATGGTAGAAATTTCGGCGACTAATTTTAACAAGTGATTTCTTTGATTCGATTTGCGCCACTCCTGGGTTAGGTGTCAAAATGCGCTTAAGTACCAAATTTCCCAAGTGGGTGGTGTTACCCCATTTTTCTAAAAATCCTTCAATATGGCAGCACGACAAAAATTTCGCTCGAGCAGGAGCACGTAGTGCTTGGATGAGTTCTAAATATGGCAAAAAATACTACTTCAGGACTATGTAATGTCTGTCAAATGAGATAAGTTTTCTTCTGTTAACCCTCGCGGGCCCGTGGGGCGTTTTTCGCCCCCCCCCCCCTGGCGAATATTTGCGATAGCTCCCGAACGCTTAGATAGGAAAGCGAAACTTTAAGCATCTTTTTTCCATCAATTTGACATCTTCTGAAGTAAAAAATTTGGACCTAGCCCCCTTGATGACGTCACAGGGTCGATTTTTCTAGACCCCTGCACGGCAAACTTCGGCGTCACAGACGCGAACTTCAAATAGCTGCTAAAAATAGAGTTTTAGAGATAAAGACAAATTACGAGCACGGTTGTGTAGAATTTGACCTAGAGAAAAATAGAAAAATACTTTTGGTGACCTGAGGTCAGAGGTCAGGTCAACGACCCCGAAATGTGGTTTTAGTTTTTCGCAAATAACTTCGACAAAAATGGCCCTAGAGCTACGGCAGTGGTACATACCATCGCATTCGCCTTGTCAAGCCGCGTCGAATGATATATATTTTTGTTGCGATTCCAAGTTTAAGAAGGTACAAATAGGGTAGACCGGGGCAAGTCGCCCCGCCGAGGTAAAACGCCTCACCGATGTTTCTCGGAACTGGCAAGGATCTGGGGCAATATTCTCTCTTCTATAAAACGTGCACTATATGATCATTATATGACCAGACTGGAAAGAAATTGTGATGACTCCTTAGGGAGATATAGCCAAAAATGTGTTTTTGGAGTGATTTTTATGTTTTGTTGTCAGGTTATGCATCATGGCGTTCTTTTATGGTCCACATCAGGTTAACGACTTTTATGTATTTTGAATAACTGTTATCTAACGCTTATAATGCCGGGTTGGTTCGTGTTAAATTATGTCTTGCTGGAGTGCAAGGCGTTGTTTTCTGACCGAACTACGTGATGGGGTAAAACGCCCCAGTAGGTCGCGGGGCAAAAAGCCCCATGGGGCGTTTTGCCTCATGTGTTGTTCGTACTACCCACTTCCTAATGTTCGGTAGCTGGCAAACAGTAAGTTTCTATGCATTTATGTGTAGTTTTCTCAGCAACCGGATGGCAAAGGAAGTATTTGGTTGACAGTTGCATGGCAATAATTTATTATTTGGCCTTATGAAGCAGGTGAAAAACCTGCTCATACAATAGTGTCATAGCTGAACACCTGATAGGATGGAAGGTGCTAACTTCAGTGCCGTGCCTCCCGAGGTCTAACGGACCTCTCATATAAAATTTGGTCAACTAGCATGTTTAATCTTTAATCTACAGTATGGGGCTTCTTGCCCCGGGCCGTGGGGCGTTTTGCCCTGGGGTTGGGGCAAAATGCCCCATTTGCAGTTGCTTCACAAATCACTTCATATCTGGGAGTCCGATCATAAGTGAATGAATTTGAGGGGTGGAATTTAAAGTAAAATGTCCAAAGAACGCATTGAGCACAAATTTGGCCTTCCAGGTGATGTAGGACAAAAGTTATGAAGCAAAATAAATTATCTGGGGCGTCTTGCCCCAGGCTACCCTACACCAGGCGGATGTATTTTTGATCGTCAGCAAAATGAACAACCATGGCAGGGCAGGGCTCCGACTCGGCCCAGTACAAACTCTGCACCAAGATACGCCTACTCGATGAAATGAGAGCCTCGTTCATGGCTCCCCAACCCGTAAATATCCTCCCTGAATAGGCGCGTTGCCGTATGAAATAGCGACCTTGCAAGGCACGCTCAAATGATACGAACAGCTCCGTGAATATGCTCGCCGAACAGGCCACTCAGACTAGTAAGGCTTACATATTCACGGCGCTGTGCTATCGGTGGTTGGGGCCAAAAAGCGAATGAGGAACGAGCCCGACAGACTCAGTCCCAGATTTAGACCCTCGAATGTATATGCATCGCCGAGTAAGCCGACAGCAAGCCTCTCAGACGAGTCTGCCGACGTCCCCAGCAACGCATATAACATTCGAGGTCCCAACGCACCAGCCGCGACAACAGACATTGCCCGACTGCCCTCCGCCGGCGCGCCCTCACCCGACCTCACCTCACAATCACGTGGTCAGCAGCCGACCAATCACTGCACGAGTCCGCGCCGCACAGCCCCGCTCCAGCGAGAAATGCTGTGCCGCAATACAGCGGCCGCGCGTCGGCCGAGGAGAAATACGGGCGGCCGAGCCGACACAAGCGGGCGAAAAGACGACAACTAAATTGACTGAGTTCTAACAATTTTGTTTGGAAAAGGTCAATTTTTATGTTGACCTCATGTGACCTCGAATGACCTTTGGTTGACCTTGACATACGAAAGGTCGTTTATGATGGATTCGTACCCGCTGATCACGAATCTGGCATCCATTTCCTCTAATCCTTTATTTAGAACCTCCGGATGGCAAAATTGTCTTATTTATTATTACTAGCTTGAATCAGTGAAATAGCCTCTAGCAGGGATACTTTTCTGTGACCTTGACCTTTGCGCAGCCTTGTGTCGTAAGATGAACCACAAATAGGGACTAAGCCTCAAAACATTTCAAACATTTTGGAAATTAGCACGCAAGATGTACGAAAAAGTGCAAAGTTTAAGGTCAAGTTTAAGCATGACCTTGACATTGACCTTTGATTTTGAGCATATTTACAGAATCCTCAGATTCTCTTTTTTCGTTTGACAACCAATTTTGCCAGTTTTATGCATTCTGCCGTCGTCTAGAACGCTTACTTTGAGATTACTACACATGTGCCGGTTTTTGCCTTTGACCTTGACCTCTGACCTTGAAAATTGACCTGAGGTCAAAATTTTTAGGTGCTTTAGAATCGTCTCGTAAGGACCTTTCGATTGGTATCGCTTTTTTCCGTAGCTCTCCCTTATTTACGAAGTTAGACAGGTGGAGGGGGGGGGGCGAAAAACGCCCTCCCCGGGCTGCGGTGGTTGGGATTACCCCCGGGCCCGGCCGGGTTAATTATGCTACAAAAAGTATAAAAAGTATTCACGAAACGTAAAATTCGGAATTTCTCGCAAATCACCTAAAACAATGCGGTGCACTGCCCATGCCTGCACTTTGACGTCACGCTGCCAGAAGACAGTCAGCTGTCGCCCAAGACCTTTTCATATTTCTGATATCGGGGTGGGCGGTGTTCCCCCATCTTCCCTTAATAGCCGTTTCATTTATTCGGACAATTATACCAATGAGCCCAGACATGCGATATAAGGGAAAACGAATTATTATTCATGTAACTTGCCGCGATCGGTCATCCCTTGGACTAAAGTTTAAAAATGGACATATGTGCATTGTACGTTGACACTTATCTTTTCACACATTGCATATGGATTATAGGTCCATGAAAAACTGTCTTCGGTGCGTTTGATGGTCATGGTAGGTAGGTACGTACCTCAAGCGTCTGAATTTCATTTGGACATTTAGACTCCAGCCACGGACTCACTCGGAAACTAAATGAGAATTTAAACAATAAACCAAGGTAAGTCAATTCTAGAGGTAGGGGAAGGAGGGTGAATAGCGCCACCTTAAGGAAAAACGCTGATTGTAAGAAAACCGCTGGAGATATAAGCATGCATTGGTGACCATTTCAAAGAGGAACTCATTGGCTACGATTTAAGAGCATCCCGATCAATTAAGAATGTTTCGTTTGCTTCTGACAGCTGCTATTTCAGAAACATGTAAAAGGGCGCATTTGCCAACAACTGCTGTAAATTGCGCCAGGGGGATGGCGCAATTAGAACCGAATTGCGCCCTATACTTTAACATGGCTAAGCGAATGAGACGGAATGCATACACCCCGGCAGTCTAATGTCATCGCGGCTTGCTTTAATATTCATAATGTTATTCACGCTGGTTAAATAATAAATGTAGGTGTAAATCGCGATGTTTTTTAGCCCACTTAGATAACTTTACATGTGTTCGTACGCTTGTAAAAGTGCAACGAAAACGTTTACTGTAACCGACTAGATATATGTGAACGTATGCGCCTATACGGTTACATTTTCAATCGTTTCTCTCAAAATTAATAATTGTTATTGTTTCGACAGCTTTATGACATCAGTTTTTACTTTTTTGTCATAGCTGTCACCTCTCACGCCTGAGTCCATGTTGAAAATGTCGTATTTTGTCAATTACACCACAAGTTCGTAGCCTAAATGGCAGCTACATTATAAGTTTGACGAGAGAAATAATTTGCGGACTGACGACAGCGGGTTGCTCCCCTGCCTGACATTAAACTCCTTCTTTATTGCAATCAGTTAATGATGCATTCATGCTGTCGTGATATGCAATAGCTACACCATTATTCTATTTGCGCCCCCCTGGCGCAATTGCCATGGGCGCAATTAAAATTGAGGTGCTTTTTAATAAAAGCGTGGAAGTTATCATAAAGATGTTGAAGGAAGCTAACTGTTTTAGTGAAATATAATGAAAAAAGGACTTTTCTTTTTAAATATCACTCTGAAAATCACATAAATATCACACATTTTTATAGCCAACGGTACAAAATACTGCAAAAAAACTAAGAAAACGCCGTAACATCTTTGATGGCGTAATGAGC